CTGACCGTCCCCAGCGGTCCGCGAAAGTGTTATTATGGACGATCTTAGCACCCCAGCGCCATGCACACGACCGAGGAATTCGCACGGTGCAACTAGTGCAACGCCTTCTGCCCTCTAGACTCTACAAGACTTTCGTAAGGGCCACGCATGTCTTGCGTCTTGGGAGTCCTTCGTCGACCGAAGTCATCAGTGCATACCTGCCAAGGTGTAGGCGTGCCTGCGTGTCTAGGTGGTCCTCGAGGCGCTGCTCAACTGTGCAGCCGAGTGTCATGATAGACACTTTGTAGATTCGTCTTTGCAGTATACTCTGTACGAGTCGCCGGACCCCGAACCGGGGTCAAAGACGCTGTGCCCCTATCTGGTCCCTGTCGGCCGGGCTGCTCGTGGAGGGGTTGATGTGCAGTTCAAATTCCAACCAGAAAGAGGGTCCGTGGGCCGCGAGCTGTTTTCTGCTGGGGTGTGTGAAAAGGTCCGGTCAGAGGGTGTGTCTAATGCAGGAGCATGGGGTGAGCCAATGACATGCTCCGTAATGTTCTCGGTTGTGGCTTGATGTTTGAATCCATGGTCAGCAATGCAGTGTCTTTGATACTTCCAGCACCAGGATATAGTCCCTCCACCGACGTATAGCAACACTCAGGCAGCCAGGGAGGCAGAGACGCGGAGAAAGCAGGTAGGGTAGCAACTGTTGCACAAGTCCTAACATGAAAGCAAAACCGGACCATGTACGAAGTATCGGCCGCCATGTCCTCGCAGTTTCGATTCCAGGGATGACAGGCTTTTCGGTCTTAGTGTGGCTTGACAGTCAGCTCCAGAACCGCCAGTGTGGAGGGGCTGATGAGGGGTGGGAATGCAAGACGACGGCAGCTCGGCCTGGAAGAACAGGATCCAAACGGAGACTTGACTGCATTCTTACCAAGCTTGCAGGATAGCCAAAACAGGCGGCGTCTGCGCCCCAGTGATGAGCTGGATTGTCAGGATTGTCCGGGCTGCCGGGCCATGTAAGACAGTCGATAGTGCGCCATCATCCATGAACGAAATGTGTCGGTATGAGACGGACGCTGATCGCCTTGGCCGTGCGAATCCAATCCAGGGCTTTCGTCTGGCATGGTGAACGGATTGTGGAGCATGTTGGAAGCTTACCGTACAGTCTCTTCGAGTTCGACAACTTTCCGTTGCACCCCATTCTGGTGTCACTGACTCGACCGGTGTACGTACTTCCGAGCTTTCGCAGTTGGCGTGGTCGACGAGAACGCTGCGAACCGCATGCCTATGTCCGAGGGTCTATCAAGTAGCGAGTTATCTCACGCGATCGCGGCGTGGCAATTTCAGTTTCTTAATTGCCTCGTTTAGATGGTCACTTGGGCAATGATATGTTGCCGTAGGCCGGCAAAGGTGGTCCAGTTCCTGAAACATCTGACGCTGCAGCTTCTGGGAAGCTGTCCGTATTTCCTTCGCTTGTTGGTTGACCTGGACGCTGCTTGGTTGATCGGATTCCAGGCACCAAAGCCACAGCGAGGGTGCAGCCAAGCAAGGTAGCTTTCCAGGTCCAACAAGCCTTTGGCAAAGCATCCGGAACCCAAGGCCGATTTGATCTCTGCCGACGCGAGCGTCGCATGTCGCATAGCCATGTCACAGGCTCATTACTGGTTTCGTTATCGTCATCCTGGCGCACTGCTCGGTGTCCGCCTCATCCGGACTATAATTGGCCAGTTTGCTGTCTTTGAAATGCTGACTTCACCCGCGCTGAGAAGTGGCTACAACTTGTGTATAGTTTGCGCAAGAAGCTTTCGTATCCACGGTGATTCGAGAACTGACTGAATCATTTGAAGTCGTTCCAGATGCGCAGTCCCACCGGGGGGGGATCATGTGCTCTGCTCATGACATGATCGCAAGTGAGTTTGTAGCAGGTTTCGCACGACAATGGATCCAGACGGCGTCATCAACGCAAGGTAGAGGAGGTTCCGGTAAGGGAGGTATGGTGATGAATGAACTGGACGTTTGATGGTGGTTTGGAAGCGAAGCCACCAAAAGAAGAGGACCTGATGTGGGGCACAGTTGACGCTCTTCCAAAGTTCCAAGTTCCATCACTCCTTCCGATTCAATTAAACTTTCCTTCCGACCATTCGGTAGCCCAACTTTGCAATGCTTGCGATTCGGCAACAGTCAAGAAGAAATCAGCATGGAACAAACTTGAACTTTCTCACCCCTCCGGTAAAGCGGAAACAACTATCAACTTCTTACTGGTCACGGCCAGCCATGTAGGGAAACACCGGCCTCGGCTGGAACGAGACATCCATCATCCGCCTGCTGTGAAAGTTTGGGGTGGGGCCTCACTAGGCTTCACTCCGTTTTCCTCTCCAGCTCCATCACGATGTAACCATCATCAGCAGTCACAAAGGTAGAACCTAAGGCCGCCGCTTCATTATCGGCTAGGTCTAGACAAGGCTGCTGTCCGTCTCGTCTCTGGACAGAGCGAATCGATAGCCGCATGCCGTATCGTCTGACCTCTCCAACGTCATGCTTAGGAGTGATGAGTCTGGGCGGGTAAGGCAAAGCATCTAACCGCCACGGACATGCTGACGGGCGCGACGATAACTGACTGGGCAGAGACCTCCGATGCTGCCGAGTCACTTCTTTGGAAGACGCTTACCTCGCATACGACATAGAGCATATACTAGACTAGGCGTCCATGCCGAAACGCTCCTGTGTCTACACGGGCTTATTACTGGTCGCAATGTTGGCAGACATTTGATACCACCTTGCTCGACGGTCAACCTGCACGAATTGTGTCTGATATAGGACCACTAATAGCGGCCTGTGGCACTTCCTAACCCTGTGTTGCCGGCCCGAGCAACAATGCCTGACCACCCTCGGGCTCATGCTGTCACAGACGGAAATGCGCACCAGCAAGGCCAGGCGACTGCATCAGCAGAGGTCGTAATGCGAGCAGGCGGCGTCCAAGGTTGCTCAAGAGCCTGGCCGTTCTGCAGACGTAGCTGGTCTACGTAGATAGGCGTTGACTGCGTCGTGGCTCCATGTCCGCACGTAGTCAACACTGCACCCGCTTTGCCTCGTCGCCGCGGCCAGGCGGTTGAGTTGGAGCCTGCCATTAGGCGAGCTGTTGCACCAGACATATTCCTTGCGCCGTGCACTGATGTGATAGCTCGCGTCACAGCTACACCACGGTGGCTTTTCACGACCATGACCTGTCTTGTTGCCCCGTTACTGTCTATTTTCGGGCTCTTCACAATCGACCTGTGAACCGCCGAACATGGCATAAGCCTGATGGTGATCTAGATCTCAGGTGGAGAAGCCGACAAACGGAGGTTGCTGCGCTCCGTCGTGTCCATCATGATCGCCATATTTTGTCTTTCGACATCCGAATGACTTCACAAGTGTGCAGTTACTAGCAGCGTGGCGGGGTCAGCAGCCCACAGTGGACGTGGCACTTACCGTGCTCCTACCGCAGTATTCAAATTCTCAGGGGGCTACCATGAACGGACAATCCAGTCAGGCCAGTCTAATCGACATTCGTCCGCGTTGGCAACACCTTAGCCCACCTCGCTACTCACCACCGGCTCCAGCTTCCAAGACCGTCGCCGGTTCGTATCTGGGACACGCTATTCGTACGCTGCCTTCATATCCGACGGCATGCCGCCCCTTCCGGGCAGGAGTTGCAGGTCAAGGATTGCGTTTCCGCCTCTTGGCCGCAGCTGAAAATATCCTTGGAGAAAAGGGCGATATTGCTCGTCCGGCTCGGGAATTGCATGTCTCGACGTTGGTTTGTGACTCTGCGCCATCGTGGTGGTCGAGCCCTGTAAGAAAGGGGACTCTCTCCTGTGTGACCGACGGTTTTATGGCTGATCTTAGGCTTGCCCAGTCCGCTAACCACAAGCCCGCATCTTTCGCACGGTGAGCTAAAACCTGCCGTTTCCAGCAGCAGTTGGGGGTCAAGTGTTTCCGACCCCACCTGCAAATCCAAATGGAAGACATGGAACCTGGACAGACTCCCTTCGTTTCGCAACGACGACGCGTGTTCCCCGAAATCAGTGGCTTGCTGCCTTGGGGGCTCCCAGGCCGGCCGGACTCGAATAAGCAACAGTTAGATGCATGGCGCCGCCAGGCTGTAAGACAGTGCGCTTCATGCGATATGTGTACATTACTCGCCTGCAAGATTCAGGCCTCCCTCACTGCAACTCTGTTCAAAATTCGGACCGGCTGCAGAGATCACCGCCAGGCGGGAAGCACGAGTCTCGCCGATGATCAGAAGCAGCATTCGCAGCCTTGGTGCACTCGTGATGGAAACATGTCCCGCATCATGCAGCTTTTCGCGTTGCAGATCCCCATAGTTTCGGCGACCATCAGGCGATGCCCCCTTTTTGCTAGGCGGCCACCGGTGTGTTCTCGAGTGAAATTCTTGTGACGTCTACGGCGTGGCGGCGGCGTCGACAGTTTGTGCTGGACAATCTGGCTACGTGGAATCGAGCTAGTGACCTCTACTATTACGCCAGTACGCTAAAGTGGTTGAAATGCGAGAGACAATATCGGGCCAAGTGATATGCACAGTCACTAGCTCGATTACATTGGCGAGCAGATACACGGTGCTCGTCGAATACCGCTGGCGAGACCGACCGCCAGATCAGCACCAGATGACGATGGAGCGATAGCTTTGTCCAGAGGCTGCTCCAGCTACGCCAATGTGAAGACGGACACGAGAGTCAGTCGAGCCGCCCTCTGCCGGATACGGCCTTCTTTCTCGCTCTGCTATGTGCCCACCATTAGCCTGCTTCCCGGCCGAGCCAGCCCGCGCCGAATCATGCGTGGCCCTTGGCCGAAGACGGCCTGGCTGGGCGGTCCGATGTTGTGGTTGCATCCCTTAGCGCAAACCCACTCTCCCCACGAGTCAGTCCTGGTCTCTCCGAAGAAACGTCCAGCCCTCCAGCCAGCCAGCCCGCGGCATCCCTTCAAGTGAGACAATACGCCCCTGTCTCTATGTACTCGGGGGTGTAGCTCATCTGGTAGAGCGCGTGCTTAGCATTTCCGCTTGATGGTCACTTCGTGATCGTCGACAACATGTTCCTGCACGAGGTACTGGGTTCGACTCCCAGCTCCTCCACACTTGCTTTTGCGGTTCTCTTTTGGTTCGGTGCTTTTTATGCTTCGCTTTTGGTTCAGTACTTTTGTTCGGGGTTTCAGGTCAATCAATGACTGACCTCTTGGGGTTGGTAAACTCGCTGCTTCACACTTTGGCTTTTTTGCATATCTTTTATTTTATTTTTTTAAGGTCAAGGCGTATGCGCATGGGAATTTGGGCAGCTCAACCAATGACTGGTGGAGGTTGTCAGTTTTCCAACTCCCTTCGGAAGGAGCGATTACTGCAAGTGAGGACGGCAATCAGCGTGCCAGGAAATCTTTGCGCGGATGTCTTTCTACGCCCAAATCTTATGATGCGGACTAAGTTCACGGTACAAATTGAAGAGGCTTGCCGCGGAAGGAACAGTATTCGCAGTCTCGCCGACGCTGGCTTTTATCATGGTCTCAATCGCGAATGTTGGCACAATACCCCTCAGACAGTTCAGATTTTAGCCGGTGACATGATTACAATATGGCATCGATGCCGATGGATCTATACTCCAGGTAGTCTGACGTTTGTTGGATCACATCACATCGGTATATCGCATGTCTGCTCTTGTTACTTTTGCAATCCTCCCCTTCCGCCCTCCTCCTACCGGTCTTCACCGTCGCCGCGCGGCGGAGGCTTGACCACTCGCCCCCTCAACCGCAGCTAAACTCGCAAACAGCAATCCTCCTGGCTCGCGCGGTCTTGCGCTTGCTCGCCTCGAGGGCGTCGCTTATGTGAAGATGCTGCAACACCACTTCATTGTCGACGTGGCGCCGGGTGCGGAGCTCCTCCACCGAGACTCGGTCATTTGCCCATTTCGGCTGTGAGGGCTCGGGAGCGCTATCTTGTTCCGCGCACGGATTGGGCTTGATGTCACTGGCCTTCGGCGCCACCAGTGCCTCCCTTCTGATCGCGCGTTGGTGCCCTCTCTTGACCCACCGATAGACGCTCATGCTGATGGGCGAATCCATGCTCTGGACTGCCTCTAAGAGGGACGTCATACCCACAAAATGACCTCTAGAACACCACGTCCGTCCCCGACCAGAGAAGGTCATACCACTCGTTCGTCCCGGGATCAAGCCCCGGCGCCGTCTGATCAGAGTTGAAGCTCGGGCTGGCGAGCATGCTGTCCGTGACGCTCATGTCGTTAGCGATGAACTGCCCGAGGGCATCCAAATCCCGCCACGAGAAGCCGCTAAGATCAGGTCCTCTCGTACCGCCACCGGACTGCTCCCCGCCACCCATCGCGGGATCAGGCGCGGGCTGACCACTCGCCAACGTCTGCCCGGCATCGTTCTGCTGCCTCTGGGCCGCGCTCTGCGGCGTCTTGCGCCAGAGCAGGTACAGCGAGCGCGCGTATCTGTTCCCGATGCTGTCCGGGCTGACGGACGACCGCTGCAGCCGGTCGATGGTCACGTGGATCGTGCGCCGGACGCTGCCGCTCGCCTCGCGGCCCAGGGCGCCGGCCAGGCGGGCCTTGAAGAGGAACACGGCCGCGTAGATGACGTAGAGGTAGTACTTTATCGGCATGTAGCGCAGGCCGGTCACGGGGTCGATGAAGCTGTTGAGCGTGCCCAGCAGGGAGTTGGCGGCGTCGATGGACTCGTAGATGAAGCGCGCGTCGCAGCTGCCGGCGACGTCGCTGAAGAGCGGGCCGGACTTGGCGGAGGAGTTCTGCCGCACGCGGGCCATGGCGCGGTTGATGGTTGCTTGGAAGGCGAAGGCGTTGATGTAGAGGCGGAGGAAGTCGTAGGAGAGGATGAGTGTTGCTTTTACGTGGGGTGTGACTGGCAAAATCAGCACGCGCCGAGGTGATAGGGAAGATCTTGGACAAAGACTCACAGCTCAAACTTCCCCATACTAACTTCCACTTTCTCAAGGTAGATGTGAAGTCATCCTGCACAGGTTAGCCACGATCGAGGCGTAGCAGACGCTCAAGGGGAGCTTACGATGTATCTAACGTACTCGCCACCAAGATACAGCGCCTCTCTGTGACTTGTCGAGGAGTACAGAATGTCATGCGCATTGCCAAACAGCTGCGTCAGCTCCAGGTGAGCTTGGAACAGCAGTGAGAGGTCATCAGAGCCCATCTGCTGTGCTTGCAGAGTGGGGAAGTCGGCTGCGCGAAGGATCGTCGAAGGCCCAGGTCCTCTAGACCAGAAGCCTTTGCCGAGACGGATCGATACGTGTCTGTCGCTCATGTAGCACGCTGCGAGCTGTTAGCCTCAGATACGGAGGCCTGACAGATGGAGGCCGAGCTAACTTACCCGCCCAAGCAAGCTGCTTCCGACTAAAACCATCCGGCTTCGGATCCTTCGCCTGGAGCAGCCCGGTCTGCTCGAGCCTCTGGAGATATCCCAGCCTGATGGCCACTCCGACTTGCATCCAGGCGCCTTGGTCTTCCTCTCCCCGACCGATAGTGGGATTCTCCTGCAGTCGCTGTGGTGCCCACTCGGCCAGGATGAGTAGAGCTTCGACAGCACCAACCGTCGTTGAGCCCCTGTACATCAGCTTGGAGATCAGTGTCTCCATGTGCTTTGAGCATGCCTCGTGTATGCCTGCCCAAGACGGCTCGTCCTTGGAAGCAACAGTCAGTACCGCCGTGAGGAGGTGCGGCTCCTTGTCGACCCATTGCAGGACGTCATCACTCATAAAGATATCCTTGTGGGCTATGGGAAAATAGGGGTGGTATTTCTCGTGGTAGCTGGAGATCTTGTCAGCTGAACCTTGCCATACAGTGAGTATCAAGGGCAAAGACATACTGTTTCAGGAGAGGCAACACATCGGCGACGGCAAGATAACCGTCCGCAATTGGCGGGAAGATCGCCGACTGAGGGTTCAACGGTTGAGATACGCCCTTCTGTGTGCTGTTCCGGCTGACATGTTGTAGCAGGTCGCCGCGGCTCTCGGCGGCATCCCGATCGGCTACCTGTGCAAGGAGATCAAGAGCATCAGACGGATTGAGCAAGTCCGCAGAAGCGATGTGATTCTCGATATCGCTAGTAGCAGAAGACCGCCGGCGTAGTGTGGTAGATCCCGAGGCCGTCTCCTGCCATCCGTCATCCCACTGGCGGAGGCCCTGCCTTGGAGACGTGGCAGCACGAGGCTGCCATCGGTCATCTGCTGCGCCGGTTGTGGAAGGGCTCCCTTCGGCGCACGATGCATTGCTCTCGGCCACATGGCTTAAGGTCGGTGTCTGCGGAGGCGGCAAGGACGAGCCGTTTGGGATGGCCAGTGACCTCTTGACACGGCGTCCCCCACGGCGCGACTTGACCAAGATGCACTCCTGCTGCTCTTGGGCGCATCGTCGGCATGGAGGCGCGCCGTCAGAATCGCCGCTGCGGATACATTAGCCTATCGTCACTATCGTCACCTGGAGTTGTAACATGTCACCTACAGGTCACACCTCGTCTTCCTTGTGCGGCATGCAAGGCAGGCCCGAGATGCCCGCTTTTCCTTTCCAATTCCCGAGTCGGATGCCATTGTTCGGCTATTGGCGAGGACCGAGAACGCTGCTTTGGAAGCAGCGACTCACGTTTGATCGGTTGCCCGTACACTGAGGCAGATGTTTCATCTGTCGTTAGCCACCAGGCCCTCCGTAATCTTGTTATCTGGTATTCCTTGTCGAGCGTTGTAGCGCGAGAAAGCAAACCGTCGCCGTCGGGTGTGCGCTTCGCCGACGGAGGCCGGGACCCACAAAAACACTCCAGGTTTCGGCTAATGATACCTCCGCCATTCGGCAACTGCGACCGGGTAGGCGAACAGGGGATCACAAGACCAACAGCTTCACACTCTCACTCTGTGCGGTCGAGTCTAGTGTGGCTCAACGATCACAAATGCGCTTCGACAGACAGATCTTTAAATCATGGCAGGGTCACTCAGTTCTGCAGACCAACTATGCCTTTCGCGCTCCACTCCGACCACCAATGCCAATGTGACATTACGGCTAGAGAGACAACCAAGGCAAGCCACACTTCCCGTAAAGCGAACATTGTTTTGATGATTGTGCTGAAGCTGCTTCTATCACACAGATGGGATCCGGCACCATCTGCCTCCATATCCTAGTTCCCGAGACAGCAACGGTCACGGGCCAAGATCCAGCGGCACTGAATTCAGGCCAGGATGCACGTAGACAGATGTCTATTTTCTCTGCATGTTCTCTGTGTCGAATCTTGCTTGGTACCGTTGATAATATCCACAGCCAGAGATTCAGGCGCTGTCCGTCTTGCTCCGTTGAAGACAACCGTTGAGTGACATGAGGCTTTTGCCCTCCCAAGCACAGGGGATTGCTAGCCGGATCAATCTGCTAAGCCGTTGCACATCATTGTCGGATCTTGAGCTATGGATGGCCAGCATGTCGACCTTCCAACTGTCAACAGTCCAGGAGCTTCCAGGTCAGCAACCATTCACTGAGTAAAGGTACCTCGGGAAAGGTCAGAGATAGTGACGACACATCTCTGAGCAGATTGCGTGCTGTTGCAGTGTACCTGCACATCATGGCGACGATATGATGTCTGCTTGATGTCATAGGGGACCTTCACCCCACCACAGCTTGATATAAGTTCATGACTGCTCACCTTCCTCACAACTATCGAACAATCGAGAACTTGCATTAGAACTCAAGCTTGCAATTCCTCCAGATACGGTACACCAATCTTAATACTCGTACGACACACAAAACATACTGACATCAACAACCATGGCTTCCCGAAACCCCGACTCGCTCGACCACCAGGACCAATTCCACGCCAGAGTCCCCCCAACCCAGACCCACGGCGGCAGATGGGTGAGTCCAGCCTACCATATACCCTCAACCCTCTTCCCCCTCTTCACACATTCTGACCAAGAGTATCGTATCACAGCACAAACCCGGCAACGAGCAAGGCAAAGAAGCCATCCCCGAATTCCACGCCCAAACCTACCCGCCCGGCACGGCTCCCCCCGAATCCACCTACCAACCGCACAACACCTACGAAACCCCCGTCGAGGGCGGG